ATGGAAGGTTGATGGAACATGGTTGGGGAATCAATAGCAGAGAGCAAATGTAGGAGAATGGTACCACTTAACCTACAAAATCGCTCTTTGACAGTTCGAGGCCGCATTAGAGTCGTTCGAGATGAAGTTGAGAACTGCTTGGGGGTGCAAGTACTTGAGGCTTTGGAGTAAGAACCGGGTTGGAGATTCAATGAGCATGGACTGCTAGTTGGAAGCCTATTGACTTCCAGATTTGTGGACCCCAAAGCCATTCCAGAATTGGAAGAATCACCAGAGCTGATGAGAACCACTTTGGTGAGAAGAGGAGGTAAATGGTTAATGCTTCGGTTTTGTGAGAGCATGATGAAAAAGCAAAGCTAGGGCAACTCCATGAGACACACTGGAATCTTATGAGTTGAGGACATCATGAAGCAGCAGATACGGTAGAGAAAGAGATGGACAAGTAGAAGGAATTGCTAGAATGTGCAGTCGCGAGGAGAAACTTTCCAGATAGACCACCAGCGGAGATATCGCCAATCCAGTTCTTGAGAGAGTAGACAATTTGCAGAGAAAAAGGGGCGAGCGAAATGGAAGAAAGTAGACTCTTGTTGCAAAGTGAGCTCAAAGAAGCAGTTTAGAGTCCCACGTCGCCAACAAGGAATGCGAACCATTTTCCAATAGAGATCAGACCTCATGTATATAGTGTTACAAGCATCATGATGAATGCGTGACAATACTGCGCAGCCCTGTTGAGAGTCAAGGAAAAGTGCGTATTTTTAGAACTGTAGTTTGAGACGCTGGCCGGCACTTTGCTGTTTGATCGGCGGGGCCTGGGTACAACACGTTCGGCCAACTCTCTGGGGCCTACGATCAATGGTGAGGTGGCAGCAGCTGATGATCTTGCACTGGCCGCGCTTCCTGCGCTTGAGCCTGCGCCTATATTGATCTCCAGCGAGACCATCGACGCTACCGGTGCCAACTCAGTTGACGAGGCCTCACATCACATGGAGCGAAGTCCCCTGGCATGCTTGGGCCCTCAAGGCAACCTACAGTCCGCGTTGGATCACGTTCTCTGCTTTGCTCTTGTTTTGCCACGGGCGGAAGCTCTATATATCCCATTGGCTGGTTGGGCAGCAAGCTTCGTCTGCAGTTGCGCTGCAATTTCCATTTGTGCAGCGTGCTTCGCTCAACGGTGATGAAATTGTCTTGAGCACGCGCGCGTGTATCTTCGCCAGTTACGACGGGACCAGTGTCCCCGTGTGAATCTGAAACTTGAGCGTGAAGACATGGAAACCCCGAGGAGTGAACGTTCTTCTCAAGTAAGAAGGCGTTTTCCTGTTTGCATTGGAACCGAGGTTGATGGGCCCCAGTGAGTTCAAGCCACGTGTCGGGTTTGGGGCGTTGGTGAAAAATCTTGTGGAGTGGAGTTTGAGTGAGTGAGGCGTTTGCAGACCACCACTCTTCTCATCTGGACTTGAACGAGTGTTCAGAATCCTGATAGGTGTTTGTGAATGCTCGTGAAGTTTTGCGCGGTGTTTCTCCAGGAGGACGTTCTAATCAATGACTGGCTGACCTCACAACCTGAGGAGACCCTACGATCAGCTCGCCGAATCGGTCAGTAAGGCCTCACCAAGTTGGAGACGCAGGAGTGAATCAGCGTGACAGATTGAAATCGCGTGGTAGGTCGAGCAAGTTTGCGTCCGCGAAAACGTTAAAGAAAGAATCTACCTTTGAACATGGACGCCCAGGATTTTATGCTGGAGAGGTGAGGCATGAAAGCTTGCTCGGCATGTCGACTTGTAACTGTCCAGCGATGAAAGCCTTGAGCCCTGCAAAACTATCCTGAGCAAGCCCTTCGTTTTCGCGCAAAGCTTAATGGTCTTTGATGGAATTTCGTGATCTCGATGTTCGGTAGCTGTGCGCGCAAGAACGGTTTAGGCCGCGTATCAATGTAACCTCGACATTTGGAAGGGTCGGTCAGTTTTCCTCTCAAGATGGAGGGCGCAGATTCAATGAGAGGTGGCTGCGCAGAAGGCTTTGAGGTTGGAAGGAGAAAGAAATAGAATCACGCGACGTGAATCATGCGCGTAATGCCCGAAGCTGAGTCCTGGAGCATGTGTTTTGAAGGGCCAGTTTACATCGCGCGCAAGATTCATCGCCGCTGCCAGGCCATGCGAAGAACGTGCGTTTTGTGGAGATGAAGCGGTTGAGCAGAACACCTTTGAGACATGGAGCTTAATCATTCAGGCGGGCAAGCGCCAGCGTTGCAATGCGTCCTTAGTGAGGCTCTTTCTTGACAAAAACAGAAGCAGGACCTCTGCGTGACGAGGCCCTCGAACGTTGAAATACACGCGGATAATCCTCATCCTTGACATTTGAGATGACGCGCTGCCTTGAAGGGGGTGCAGGTTCGTTCAGGAAGCGCAGAAGAGGAACTTAACCAAGCAGGCCATTGAGTGGTTGAGATCGGGAAGTTGGAAGGCATGCTGAGCGCGGAAAGATTTTTATTCTGCGCGGGATTATGGTCAGGGCGGAGTGACATCTAATGAATCTAAAGAGTATGTCATGATGTAACCGACATTCCATCTGGACTTGGCAAGACGAGCAGTGTCTTGGAGTGTCGACCCGCAAAACGACGTGCGCGGTTGAGTCTTGCTAGCCCGTTAGCGCCAGTCCAGGAAGTCACAGTCATGTGCATTGCGCGCGGCAGGGAACTCCTCGAGCCTCAAGCTGGGCGAAGAATTTGCTTGGCCATTCGAGAGAAGTCCAAATGGGCGCAGCGGTTGCGCGAAATCGTTCAGAAAAACGAAGACCTACGTCGCGTTGGTTGAAGTGCAGTTCGCTTGCAAGATGATTTGATTTTGGACCAGATTCTCAGATATCGGTAGATGTGCTATTCGTGGCTGAAATTGATCTCGCAGAAGAGGAGGAGGGCCAACGGGCCAAGGTTTTTTTTTGGGGGAGTCAAGCGAATCACCCGACACCAACGCGCAATTCGCTTCGGATGAGCCATACCCAGCCTTCAAACACAACGAAGGGACAGTGTCGTTTTCACAGGCGCAGCGCTCGTTTGACGCGTCGCCCCCAAAACTTTTTTGAGGTCAATAGTTTCAGTTTGCGACGTGGTCAGTCACATGTTCTTGGATCGTTGGACATTCGTTGAAGTTTGTGACTGGCCATTCTGCCAGAGTGCAGTGTGAGGAATTACCCCCTCCTCACCGCCCTCCCGTGGAATTGGTTTCTCCACTTGTGATCGATTGTTGCAAAAACTGCAGTTCAGACAGCCTTTCCATGTGTAGCAGTGCAGCAACTTTGAATCTTTTTGCCTCTCGTCGAGGCAGAGCTTACTTACTTCTTTGCTTTTTCAGTTACAGGATTTTTGGTGCGCGTCTTCCAATCAGCGGCTATCTTGAGGAGGCATCTGATGATGTCCATGTTGCGCTGGCCGCGTCGGCCTTTTCCTGCAGCCAATTGTGCGTTACAGCAGCAGATTCGGATGCGAACTCTTCGACTTCAAAATCTCATTTTTGACACTGTGTGACAGTCGTCGCGCGCCCTGGATTCGATCTTTGAAAGGGTCATTGAAATCATTGAGCCTTCCAAGCTTCCTGTCAAGCGCAGAGTTTCATTGCCCACAGACAGAAGTTTTCTAGTCGTTCTTGACGCACTCTGAAAGCTGCATTTTTGTACGCCACCATCCTTCAGCCCCATAGCCAGAGTGGCGACTTGACACCCTGTGAAAAAGGTGCTTGAGTGATTTGCGAGAGTTGTCTCATGTCATTTGGAGAGATGTTTCCGATGCGTGACTGTGTTCTCATTGAAGTTGTTAGAACCTGAGTTTTTGGGTTGACAGTGTAGTTAAACAGCATTTGGCTGTATAAACCAAACTGGACATCCAACTCAGAGCTTTGAAGTGACTGCAGGCCGTCTACTGACGCTTCCTCGCGGCCGACAGGGGCGCCCATGCAGGCCGCATGAAGGAGCACATTTTGACTTCAGGGTTTTCAAGTTTCCGCGCGTCTCTGTTTATTGCGCAGCCTCACAACTGGCGAGGCGCCGCCATCGATACCGCCATCGATTCCACCATCGATCCCACCACAGCCGAAGCCAAGCTGGGACAACCCAGAAAAAGAGATCAGGGGCGATTGATTGTCGTAAAGCAAACTTTTCGGCCGCAGACCAGTTCCTGTTTCAGAGAGCGACTGCTCAGGCCCTCCTGGCATTGCTCAAGCTCCTGCAGAGCCTCCAGCTTTCTATGAGGATGGGAAGGCCGACAGCTCCACGACCAAGTTCATTTGAGATGGAGATCCTCCTGGAAAAACCATTGAACTCACAAAATCTGTCATAGTTTTCTGCAGAGGTTTTCCTTTGCTGAGGGTTAGGGCATAAGTTTTGTCTGATTAAAGATAGCCTGTTTTGCACTGTATCTTTTGTCCAATAAGCAGGGTTGTTGCTGTAGTATACTGCTTTGAACTTGTTGAATCGTCCGCTCTCCGACCGCAGGGCGACGTGGCGCACATCGAAGCGTTTATGGCGACATCAGGCACGCCGAGAAGACCGAGACCGGTGCGTCCGAAGACCAGACTTGGCGTCCGAAGACGTTGAACTCGTTTGCAGGCAGAGCTGAGATGACAAGACCCGTCGAGGACACCAAGTGTTTCGCGATGTTTGTTCTTCCCTTTCGCGTCGTGGCAGTAGGGAGACCTCCTCCAAGCACACAGTGACTATGCTTTTCAATCATATTAAAAACTAACATTCAAGCCTTTTATATAGTTTTATTTATATATATATACATATATACAACATTGCCGGTTTGAATGTGAAGTTTGGCAGGAGGAAAGCCTAGAGTCAGGCACGACGTCCCTGTCCAATCTCTTCAGTGTTGTATTGTAGAATGATTTGCAAACCCATGAGTTTTTCTCATGCTATGAGGATTATGGCCCATTGATGCCCATTTTGAGACCGATCAGTCATTCTTGAATCTCGGCTCAAAGCTCCGCTGGTCCTGTGCTTTTGCCACCATGCTAGCGACGCAGGAATCTGCCTACCGGAGAGGCGTGCAGTTGCGTGGCGGGTTATATAGTTTTACTTTGTTTTCTTGACATTTGCCCAATTTTTGGGGTCAATTCCCGAGAGCGTCTGCGAAGGGTAAAAAAACATCTGCAGAACTACTTCTCATCTACATCTTCACATCTTCACCTCTGCACATCCACATTCTCATCTATATCTCTGCTCATCTTCACATCTACATTCACAACTGCGCATCTACATCTCTGCACATCTTCACACCCTCACGTCATCTCTGCTCATCTTCATCTTCACACATCTACATCTCTGCTCATGTTCACTTCTGCGCATCTACATCTCTGCTCATCTTCACACCCTCGCATCTACATCTCACATCTTTACCTCTCATCTATACATCTCACATCTTCACCTCTCGCTCTTCTTAACTTTCTCTCTTAAGGCCGGGGGCAGTGCCGCAGGACCGCCACGAAACGCAACCCTCTGCGGAGATCGTGCGTGTCGTGTCGGATGCGCGAAATCGAGAGTGCGATTTGTCCCGGTCGCGGGCAACCCTCTGCGGAGATCGTGCGTGTCGAGCGCGCGAAATGCAGGCGAGACTGCGATTTGTCCCGGTCGCGGGCAACCCTCTGCGGAGATCGCGCGTGTCCAGCGCACGAAATGCAGGCGAGAGTGCGATTTGTCTCTGTCCGTCGCAACCCTCTGCGGAAATCGCGCGTGTCGAGTGCGCGAAACGCAGGCGAGACTGCGATTTGGTTTTGTCCGGCGCAACCCTCTGTGGAGATTGCGCGTCGAGTGCGCGAAATGCAGGCGAGACTGCGATTTGTCCCGGTCGCGCGCAACCCTCTGCGGCGATCGTGCGTGTCGAGCGCGCGAAGTGCAGGCGAGAGTGCGATTTGTCCCTGTCGCGGGCAGCCCTCTGCGCGGATCGTGCGTGTCGAGCGCACGAAATGCAGGCGAGAGTGCGATTTGTCCCGGTCGCGGGCAACCCTCTGCGGGGATTGTGCGTTGAGAACTGGCGACTTTGTAGTATAACTTTAGTACGCGGAGTATCTGGGGAGCTGGAAGATGAGAACTGGCGACTTTGTAGTACAACTTTAGTACGCGGAGCAATCTAGTACAACTTTAGTACGGGGAGCAATCTGTGGAGCTGGAAGCTGAGAACTGGCGACTTTGTAGTACAACTCGAGTACGCGGAGTATCAGGGGAGCTGGAAGATGAGAACTGGCGACTTTGTAGTACAACTTTAGTACGCGGAGTATCTGGGGAGCTGGAAGCTGAGAACTGGCGACTTTGTGGTACAACTTGAGTACGCGGAGCAAGCTGTGGAGCTGGAAGATGAGAACTGGCGACTTTGTAGTACAACTTTAGTAGGCGGAGTATCTGGGGAGCTGGAAGATGAGAACTGGCAACTTCCTAGTACAACTTTAGTACGCGGAGCAATCTGTGGAGCTGGAAGCTGAGAACTGGCGACTTTGTAGTACAACTCTATAAAGTCGCGGATGAGTCATCTCTCGCGGCTGAGTCATCTCTCGCGCCACCCGGCTCTCTTGAGAGGTTGACAAATTTTAGCTACTTTGCTTACTCATAAGTGGCTGCCACAAAAGCACAAAAGAGTCATCGTGACATTAGTATGTGTGTACTTCACCTTCATGACAAACGATGTTCGCTTGGAATACACGAGTCGCTTGTCATGATCGTGACATCGTTTACTCTCAGGTCGCCCTGTTCGTGGAAACTTCAGTGTGAAATGTACGTTCTTCAGTTCTATTTGAACCTCTGCAGCGTTGTACTTGCACGATTAAGGTTGACGTTGCGCTGCCGTTGCATCGACGCATCTACGTCTACACCCCCTCACCTCTCTACATTTACGTCTTTCACACGCTCACATCCGCAGATCTACCTCTCCACCTCACCACACCCACACATCTGCACATCTATCTCACATCTGTACATCCACTACAGATCTATATCGCACCTGCGCATCCACACTGTCACTCCTTCACATCCACCCTCTCTTTCTCTCTTTCTATACATCTTTTCGACAGCGCTGGACAATTACATGTCTCGCTCTCGGGCCAACCGTCGTCTAGTTTAGATGTTTTTTTGACCGTTTGACTGCAACATTGAAATTCAAGATAGTTAAGAAGGCCTCCAAATCCTCAGCCTTCAAGGAGTTGGCCACTGCACTTCTTCAACCGGGCTATGCACTGGGTATCACCGGGGATCTCAACCACAGCTGAAACACAACAGCTTTTTGGCACTGCCCTCAAGTAAAACATCCCGGTTGCTCTCGCCAAAGCTAGGAGACCAGAACAGAACGGCCCATGAACCTCACTGTGGTCCTTGGTTCCTTGATTTTCACCGGTTTGGCTGCAGAGGTTGCTGAGCTTTGGGTTTCTGGGTGTCTTTGGAGGCTTTCAGGCAGCCCAAGGGCTGCAAAGCTCGCTGAATGCGAACCTGGGTGAGCTTAATCTGGCAGCCCTGCAGCTTGGAGAGGGGATGTTCAGAAACATGAAAAAACAATATGTATATATATATATATATCGCTTTTGAATTTCTGCACCAGACTTTCTTCGAACAGCCGATGCAATGTGGACACTGCTGACTGTGCTGTTTTTTCCAGAAAACACAAACTCCACGACGTGGAAAAGGAGAAGACACAAGGACATTAAGGGTCCCTTGATGAGGCCCCTTTAAAGGGTGCCTTAATAGAGGGGCCTCACCATTTTCTTCTTATTTCTTTCAACTAGTCAGGTATGGCACGTTCTCCATCCTTTGTTTAGTCGCCCCTCCTCTACTAGTCAACTTGGAGCAATGCCTGGGGATGCAACTCATCTTGCTGATTTGCTCTGCAGCGTATTCGGCCATGGAACCTCGGCAGAAGTCGCCCAGCTGGAGCTGATTATCCTCCAAAGGGCTTGAGAAACATGTCCTCCACCTATTACCAAATCATGTTGGGCATGAAATCTACGTCTTACCACAGAATCGTCTATTAAGCATGGCCCGACAATGTCCGACTTTGTTTTTCCAGCCAGCCGTCAGGCTGAAGCTTTACCTCTTGCCACCCCCCACACCGATACCTGTGACTCATGGTAGCTCCATCAAGCCCAGCAATCCTAACAACTTTCGCCAGGAAGATTATTTTCCCCGGACACAAGGTCTGGACATGTTCTAGATCTTTGCTTAACTGAGGAGGTACATTCCCACTTCTAACTGGGTCAGACCACAACGCATAGACATTTGGCGTCCAGGGGACTCATCCATTCAGTACATTGAAATTGAGGTAGGTAGGGAGTATGTACATGATGTGAGAAATTGGAGCCCATCTTCAGCATCCTCCTTCCAATGTCACCACGACAGACCGAAGGCGCTCTCGAACTTGCTGGTGGTACCAGCTGAGCCCTCACCAGTCTGGGCGGTGCCTTAGTTGAACATGAATGACAGTTTCGTATTTTCTTGGACATGTTATAGATCCAGAAAGTCGCCAACGACGAGGACTTTGGAGAGATTTCTTTGCCACTACCTGTAACACATTGGAAGTGGTTTTGATCTGATTTCATCTAGTTGGAGCCCGCAAACTCAACTGCGGTCGCTGGGTCTGACTGGCGGTTCTTGGTGGCCTCAGGTCCCTGTGGCTTTCAATGTTCTCGTCGGGGTTGCAGCGCCGCTTCTTTGGACAGCGCAGAACACTTATGTGGGTCGGAGCGCTGTTTCAGTGGCCAAGCTCTTGCAGGAGCCAACGGAGAAGTGGACCACCAGCCTTTTGGATCAGGGCGTCAGTTGGGCGTCGGTTTTGCTGAGTTTCGCCGGTCTTCAGGGGCCGCGGCGGGCGTCATCCTTCGCTTCTCTCTTGTTGAACATATTCGCGCCGCTACGCGGCTGGGTCCGCCCACACCGGGAGAAATGACTGATTGTTCCATCATGGAGACCGTTGGGTGCTTTGGAAGCCCTGCGTCGAAGCATATGAGTCAGGGAGGAAACTATGGTTGGGGGTATACTTAGCTTGACCTTGATCATGGGAAGAGCTCGGGAAAGGCTGTGGATCCTTGCCGGTGTTGCTGCTTCTGGGTTGCTGGCCCGCTGGTCTGCTGGTCTGCTGCTGCTGCTGCTCCTGCTGCTGCTGCGGCGAAAGTGAAGGCATTCCCGTCTACAACACTACCAGCAGGCCAACCCAATCCAGTTGCTCCCATACTATATTCATTGAGATCACCAGCGCCTTCGAGACCAAGGGAAGCTATTGAATTGTTTGAAGAAGAAAGTCCTATGAAGAAACTCAGGCCATCAGAAGATTCAAGCAAGAAAGCCAAGATCATTTTGGTGAAAGTTGCAGGAGAAGACCTTTTTCGTGTGAACTACTGTATCCCCAGTTGCAGAAGAAGTTGACGAAGAGGACTGGGACGAAGAGGAGGAGGAGGAAGAAGAAGAAGCGAATGGACCAGAATGTTTGTGGCGTGATGGAGAACAGGAACCAGAAAAAGATCCAGAAGAATGGATGAGGAGAAAAAAATCCAGAAGATGCAAGTGCTAGAGAGACCAGAAGGTACCGCAGAAGGTATCAGCCAGCTGACAACACGAAGATTAGACCAAGACTAGTTGCAAGAGAATTTGTTTTTGCTGAACGAAAGAGAGATGACGGTTTCTCACCGGCAACTTCAGGACACGTACTGAAGCTGCTACCCACAATATGCTTGCAGAGAGTCTGTGAATAGGAAGAAGCAAGAGGGAGAGGAGGAGCATTTTCTCAGATGCTAGCATGTCTTGATGTGAAAGATGCATTCTTGCAGGTTCCACAGGAGAAGGCGTTGAAAGTGAACTTGAGAGGAGAACTTGAAAGTTTACCTGGACAGAGAGTTGGAGCAAAAGCGTGGTATGACTTTTTCACAAAGTACTTGCCCATTGCCTAGGAAGAATGAGAGGAGTATATTTTGACCCATGTGGGTGATTTGATTTTCACAGGTTGTTCATGGTACCCCAATGATTTTTTCCAAAGATTCAAGACAGGTTTGACACCAGTGTGAGCAACATTGAGAAGACGGGTGACGAGTAAAAATTTGAGGAGAAAGTACAAACTAGAAAAGGATGGACTATGGATCCAACCAGGTAACTACATCCAGCAGATGCTGAAAGCCTATGAAGAGCAGATTGGAAAGATCAAGCCCCAACAACTACCGGCAGACAACTCCATCCAGATGGAAGACACATCGTAGATCTTGAGTGATCAAGGAAAGACTAGCCTATTCAGAAGTATCTACCTATGTCAAGAAAGATTTGATGTAGCCTTTACAGTGAAGGACTTGGCTTCAAGAATGGCAAGCCCAACCAACAGCTTCACCGCCCGAAGAAATTCTTAGGATACTTGAAGAAGACTGTGGGCTATTGTCTAGTAGTTGAGTTTCCAGGCAGGAGAAGGCTATGTGAAGAAAGGAGAAAGCAATTGGTGATTGGAAACATTCTCAGATTCAGACCGGAGTGAAAGCAAAGCCACAGAAAGTCAACGTCGCAAGGTTTCCATGCAATGAACAGTTGTCCACCGTTCAATAGCAGCAGGACACAGAAGATCATAGGTTTATCTTCACGCGAAGCAGAGTTACACGCCATAGTTTCCTCCACGTCAGATTGTATCTATATTGGCTCAGTTCCTGAATTTGCGCTTGGGACAAAGGTGGGCCATTACATCTTCACAGGTTCTTCAGCCAGCTTGTGTTGGAAACAGGAGTTGGGAAAGTGAGACATTTAGATGGAAAGTTGCTGTGGATTCAGAACAGGAAAGACTTCAATACGGTACAAGTACCAACAGACAGCAGCATGGCAGATATCAATACCAAACCACTTGGAGGCCAAAGGTTCAAATACTTGATGAACCTCATTGGGTATTGGCATAGTGAAGAGCAACCGAGAGTTTGGTGAGCGCGCAAGAAAGGTGTATGAAAAGAAAAAGGACTTTGCAAGCAAGGTCAACAAAATTGCCAAAATTATTGTCAGAATTGTGACATTTAAGGGCTTGCAGCCAATGGTTACAGAAGCGTTCATTAGAGACAAGGAAATCGGCCAATGCAGATTGGAAGTGGAAGACTCCAATAGAAATTGGTCATGACCATCGGTTTTGGAGCGATGACCTTTGCAATGTGAAGACTTTACAAGCGTTTTGAAGAACGATATTTGTTGGTGATGGAAACTTTGAGAGACAGAGTGGACGCAGCAGAATTATGAAGAAGATGGACACAGGTTAGACAATCTGGTGAACTATTCCAGGAGAACCAGGTACTCTCACCATCATCAGTTATGATATACTGAGTGAGCTGAACGCAGGGAACTTCTTAGCAAGAAGGAGCTTGGCAGACATGAGATCAACAAAGTCAGCGATATCATGGACATCCTGTGACGTTGCAAGCAGCCACTCGAGGAGCGTGTCTACCGTTGTCAAGAAGACTCAAACCAGGAAATAGAGAGCAGTGGAACAAAGTAGAATATGAGGAAGAGCAAGCGATACAAATGTGCGGTCGACTTGAAAGAAGCTGTTGAGCGACTGAGAGAAAGACATTGGAGAACATTAGGGAGAATACAAGAGGACCGAGCAGAAACGGTTGAATACGAGAAGAATCGGTATATGAACAGTTGCTAGAACTCGGGGAAGCGAAAATAGACAATCCAGAAAGTACCCCGCTAGAGACCTCAGAAGTATGACGGAAGCAGGCAGGACTATGGCAGCAGAGTGAGCTATTTTGCAATTCGAGCGCTCACACTACCGAGAAGGAGTGTGAAGAAGTTTCAAGGTATTTCATAGCTAGCGTGTACATCATGTACATCAGCTTTGACCTGCTCGCAGCCCTTTTGCTTATCGAGAAAAGTTCGCAATATAGTATAGCTGTACTAGTGGTGGCTATAATCACCCGTGGTCGTAATTGTAGTCGATGTAGTTGTGGCAGGAGCCTTGTCGCTGACACCGAAACCATGGTATCAGCAGTTTCCCGTTGCCTTGCCCAATGTTCAAAGCCGGCAAAATGTGGGAGCAGACGCCGAGCACCTGCCATCTAGCAAGGCTGCTGTTTGACACTGCGAGCTTTAGCGCAGATTCTAGAATTGTTGCTTGTAGAACAAAGCGTGCAACTTCCTGTGTGCGTGAGATGTTGCAGAACCCTTTGTGACACTTGCTTCTTGTGACAAAGTGCTTTTCAAAAGATGTTCTGAGTGCTTGTATAAAATACATAGACTCCCGCCCACCGTCCCAGTTTTACCCCTAGCCAACTAGAGTCTAACTAGAGCCGCACCATGAAGCGGGGGGTGTTTGTTTATGCCGGTTTTACCTGGCTATTTTTGATCAAAACAATAAACCAAACTTTTTTTCCAAAAGCGCCTCAAAAAAATTGTGTGCTCCAAATTTTTCATCAAATGCAGTTATTGATGAAGAGAGACAAAGACAGGTTCACTTTCCTCAGTGTCCCGACGACTCAGACAACTTTGGCGGACAACTAATGTTCAAGGTTGTGGTTTGAAGTAGAACGAGGAATAAATAGGAAGGACGAATCAAAACTTTTGGTGGGTGTTTTTTTTTCAAATTTTTGTAGGTACAAATCTTAAAGCTATTAAGTAAACTCAGTGCATTGAATGATAGGTCCCAATGTCCCTTGAAAACGCCAATCTAGCATTCGGGCAACGCAATCTGGCTCGTCTCACAACCTAGAGACTGTCGCGTGCCGAGCTGGAGATTGATGATGTTGCATTATCCGATATTTTTTGTGTTTTTGTGGGGTTGTGAATTGGCGGATTTTTGGAATCAAAGACTCTACGGCCTGGGAGTTTGTTGGTAAGTCGATGTCCCCAGAGCAGATTACCAAGCGATTCCCAAGAGCAGATTCCCAAGCGACACGACTTTTTGTTTTTCAGGCTATAACAGCCTCTTCTTCTCCATTTACCAGTTCGCTGGCATGATTGGCAATGTCTTGTCTTCGGTCATTTTGTTGTCCTTGAAGGAGGCAATGCGGAGGGATGGATGGAGGTGAGGCAGTTTGTGTGAGCTGCCCCAGCTGATTTGAGGTTTCGGGGTTTTCATGGATTGGGTCACAAGATCGCTGTAGATAGACCTTGATCAAGCCGCAATCATCTGGATGGGAGGTTACTCAAGTAGATGGGTGCACCACACAGGTCGCCTGGGCGAAGGAGGCGCTCTTTGTGACCTTGGGACTCTTGAGCTTCGTTGGGGCCTTGGTCTTTCTGGCCATGCCGACAGTGGAAGGAGCTAACGACAAGCATGCTGGGATCTTGGACACCAGCAGGCCAGGGGGTCGCCTCTCTTTCTGTTGGTTCTCAGGATCTCGCAGGCATTTCCTTTTGCTTTCTGACCTTGTTTCTCTTTTGATATATATATATATATATTGTGTATATATATATATATATATCTTTTGTCGATACTAACCACTATGTTTTTGTTTTTGCCAAGGGTTTGCAGACATGTTACGTCTATTAGGTGTCTTGTGTGACAATAGTGGGTTGGTGTTCTTTTGCAGGACTGATGGGTTCCACTGAGTTGTGATGGTTGAGAGTACGACTTGGAGACCCTTAAGTCTGCCTAAAGAGTTTTAGGGAAGATCCTGGTGCTTTACAGCGCTTTCCTAGAGATCTGCAAGTTTGCTCTTGAGGTTGGCTGTGACGGATGCCAAGGTGACGCTGATGATCCCGTTGATGTTGACCAATGGGATGACCTTGGCCTTTTTCTTGGGACAGGGGCTTTTTTCTTTGCGTGGCCTTTGGGCTTATCGCCGCATCCCACGGATGACCGGTCACCAAATGTTTGCAGAGATGCATGTGGCTTGAAGTCATACAGAGTTTGTCCGAACGAACGAACGAACAGCCTGTTACAGCACGCTTTTTTGTTTCTAGTTTGCTGCCGTTTCTAGGAGACTTCCAAACGGATGTGACCTGTCCGGTGGCTGGCTCTGGCTTCACTGGCTTGGTGATTGCAAGCTTCTTCGGGGCCAACGGTTTATGTTCCGCCTTTTGGGGGCAAATGATCTCAAGACGACGTGCTACGCGAAGGGCGGTCTTTTGCTTGGCCTCCCTACTCTTGGCTTTATTCCTAGTACTGAAGATATTTTGGCATGTTCCAACGAACTATCGATTGCCCGCTGGCAGTATGAAGTGGGAGATGATCAGTGAACCTAAACCTTTGGATGTCTTTGTCATCTTCCTGTTGGCCGTGATCTTCGCCGCAGGGGATTCCTTCTTTGAGGCTGGACCACCGATGACGCTACAGAGCTTCTACGCTGGATCCAGCTGCCTAATGCCAGCCATGGCCAATTACAAGCTTTGGCAGAGCTTGGGCTTCGCTATCCAGTTCTTCATCGCGATACCTTTGAAGGACTTCCCAGTCCTCCGAGGAGGGAAGCAAAGCCTTGGGCGTTCATGTACACTGGAATCTGGTAGCAGGAACAAATAGAACAGACCATGTACGGCCCAAGCTCTCTTCTTGTACAGAATTTCTTGGCCATGCAGGAGCTATTCTGCTAGGTTTGACCGTGGTCTCGTGCATCTGTATTCTGGTGCTTGACCGTGGGGCTCTTAGTTTGAGAGGGTTCTGAAAGGACGTTGTACATGAAGACAACAGGAGAGTGGCAACTTTTTGAGCAATCCATGGTCACAAACAAAGCTTTTCACATTGGATCGAAGAAATACCAAGCCATGGGGCCCATACATAGTATAGGTGTTGGTTTTAGCAGCAAGTTCAAGATGCTACTGCCCTACAAGGATGTGTGGCGCCAGTGGATGATCAACGTGTTCAGATGCAGGACGAAAGATCCGCTGAGAATGCAAGTTGACTGCTGCACATTAATGTGGAGCGAGGACAGCATCGATTCCGATAACGAGTTGTCATCCAAGAAGTCAATACGTCGCCAAGAGAAAGTATGTCACTCTACAGCAGTTGTATGAAGATCTGGGGTATGAGAGTAGGTCATGGGGCAAGACGACAGACATGTGGACTTGTGGATGCTCGTGGGCTTGCCGTGGGTCAGAATTTAATCCGGCTCATGGCTGATTTGGTCGATGGAAAAGTCTGCTCCAAATAGCCTTCGAGTTGATGTTGGCGTTTGGCCAAGACTGTTAGCCTTGGAAGAGGGCTCCAGTAGATTTCACGGAAGGTGGAGTAAGACTTAGCAGCTTTCAAGGAAGCTTCTGATGCATGAAAGCGTGCAGAAAAAATTGGAGAGCTTGTTGCTCGTGGAACGCAGATGAGTCTTCGCTGTCCCTCAGATTGCGGCATCAGGGTTTCACTCGGATGCAGCTTCTAACCACTGAGCTGGCAGCGACTGGTTTGGAGCAACTTTACGGAAGTTCATCCGGTTTTGACCTGCCTTCAACCATACAAGGTGTTGCCAGAGATAGGAGGCTATTGTTCGAGGCCAATCTATTTGTACCAGGTGCTCCCGAGTCCGAATCGGTTTGGTGAGTGCGGTGTCCTCGCTTCCCTCGGCAGTCTTGGCGGACTTCCCCGAGCCGCGGAACGTGCCAGCGGCCGTTGCGGATGCCTCCCAGCGGGGTCCTGGCCTGGCCGTGGCCTCGTCAAGAGTCTCCAGTCTGTTTTGTGATCTTTGTTTGGTTGTTGTACTAGCTTTAGGCATTTGAGCGAGTTGGAGCATGCCCCTCTCTATAGAATTATCAGAGTCCTTGCAATTGCAACTAGCTCCAGGTGTGATGCCTTTTGGATAATCAAGAGTCTTCTTTGACATAGACATGACATTCAGAGCAAGGTGGTAATCGAGGACCAAACCCGATGCTAGCAGCAGGAACCTGCAAGATTTGTGTGGTTTCATGGAAAGGCTGGACAGGTATTTCCAGCAACAACAGAGGGACACCCCTACTTTTGTTTGGGTTGTCAGCAGCATGGCACGTAAACCAGTTGCAAAACCTGAATCTGAACACATGAGCACGTCCAACACGAAGCAAGCTGCCATTTCGTAGATTTCAAAAGCTGGTCCTTCTGCAAGCTTCTCAGGGTGTCTTCACCAATGCCGGCCTGGAATCACCCGTGGCGCCCTTGTTGCTTGAGACGCTCCAAGGACGCTGCTAGTAGCAAGAAACTACAAATTAGGTTGGAGGCCATCGCTATTAATTAGGTTGGAGGCCATGACTACTAGGAGCACGGACGCTACTAGTAGCTATTTGGTCTCGTTTTCTTTTTTTTAGCCGTGACTCGACCGAGGCGGGCAAAGGCCATCCTGCAGCGGCGGCGGCGTGCGCCGTTCAGGGCTGCTTACCGCCCTGCCATTCACGTTTAGGGCCGTTAGAGATCCTTTCTGCATTTATGGCCGCAGACGAAGCTCAGCACCGTGAGGGAATTTGCTTGCAAATCTAGGCAAGGCCGCAAGGCTTATGGTTTTAAAGTCCGTAAGAAAGGACGTCTATTGTTCACACTCAGACTCACAGATCTGATCTTGAGGGCTGTATGTGGATTCTCCGATATCCTTGCAACATCAGCACCTTTGTGGGCCAGCAACACTCGAATTCTTTGAGCCCGTTGCCCCAAAAAGGCCTTCAAAGCTCACCAAGTCGAAGGTTTCACCAAGACCATCAAACTTCACATGGATGTTCTGGGATCTAAAAGGCTTTCAGAGCATGCCAAGTTCTCTGGGAATACGTCCCCATGTAGAGCCGCATGCTGGCGGCAGACCTGTGGCCATGGCGGTCTCAGGAGGCTGGATGGGACTAAAACCCGCCCCCAGTGAGAGAAGAGCGCTTCTGCCTTTGGTCATTTGTGCCTTTGCCAAGTCATTGCAGGATGTGTCAACGTCAACATGTGCTGCGAGTACTGCGATTGGGGCCTTTTCCAAGCAATGCAGAGGCAGGGTTGGTCCCCTTTCCCTCAAGCACGTGCTGCTCTTTCACAAGTCACTCCAAGTCTGATGCAGGCAGAGGTTATTTTGCCACAGTCCTGGTACATGGGTGGGTCAACACAATCATGCAACATCATGTTAAGATCTTGCGGAGCTTGGGAGCTTCCAGTTGGCAATTGGGGGGTGATTGCCATAGCTAAGTGATGCTGGCCATTTGTCAAAGATGGTCCAACCAGGTCACCAGAGGAGGGACACATTTGGTGAGGTACAAGAAGCCCTGGCGCTGGAGATGGACACTCTGCAAGAAGCAGTTGGGTGAGGCTTAAAGCCACAGGAGATTGACAACTTTCACAGAGAGAGAGAGAGAGAGGGAGAGAGAGAGAGAGATAGAGATAGAGTTAGAGTTAGAGATAGAGATAGAGAGATAGAGATAGAGAGATAGAGAGATAGATAGATAGATAGATAGATAGATAGAGAGAGAGAGAGAGAGAGTGAGCGGCATTTTGGTTCGGAGGGTGTGAGCCATGATATGGAGCAGATTGACAATACTTTTGCTACCATTTGTTAGGGTTCGGTAGGGAAATAAGAGTTATATTGTTGGCCTTGCAGCTTCTGATTTGTTCCATGTCTTGACGTTGAGCTACAGGGATTGGGGTGACCAACAGCCGTGGGCCGGTTCCTAAAGCTTCTGAGGACACTTGGCGGGTGACGCCGAAGCCTGCCACAGTGGTCTTAAGCGCCGTGGCCAAGAGGGGCTGGGCTTCTTTGGCACGTCAAGTGTTGCAAGTGATGCTGAAGGAGCCAACTCTGGAGACAGCCTTTGTGCTTGTGTGGGGCATTTTGAGTGCAATATTGAGTTTGGCCTGCATAGACCAGTGCCTGACATTGTTTTTCGAATCAGGAGACGTTGGAAGTGAATGTTTTTCACTACACTACAGTCATGGCAGCCTCGGACGATTGGCACTTCTCCTTGGATCTCCTTGTGCTCACCTTAGTCGTTTTTCAGACTGAAAAGATATGAAACGTAGGCCCAGTTGAAGACAAATCTGTTGGCTTTGCACCTCTCGGTAGGTTTCAGGCTTTACGTCAGTTGGATGTTTGAAGCCAAACAGACACAACGCTACTAGGGGCTCCTGGCCTTACTACTAGGAACAAGAAGCTACTAGGGGCTCCTGGCATCGCTACTAGGAGCAAGGGGTCTTCAATTGAACATTCGTTTTTGGCGGAATTTACTTTCACCGAGGATGAAATGCTGGGCTTCAAGATCCAGCCAAACCAATTCAGCTACAGTTCAGCTGCCACCAACTGTGCGACAAGTAGCTACTGGCACCTCTCGATGGACTTGCTGTTTGCTGTGCCATGCCAGAGATGCTCGAGCCAATCAGGGGTCCCAAATAGACCGTCAAGTGATGTGAAATGTGGACACCTGTTGGAATACGAAACCTTCCCGATTTTCATTTTGCCGACATGTTCTATCAAGTACCCGAGTGAGATGGATTCTGCCCTAAAGTCTTTCTTGAACTCCTGACTGAACATGAACAGAGTGGGGTACTTCTTCATTCTAGTCCAGAACATCGAACAGCGAGATTGCGGCAAATAGATCAGATGCTGTGATGTGTGAAACAGTTCAGACTGAAAATCAAGAGTTGTGGTAGAAGGAAATGGTTTGCTCGAGATCAAGCGTGGAATTTAACATGTGAGTACGTAAGCACAAGCCACTGCTCACCTATATAAATAGAACAGAAGTCCCTGAACAGAAAGACACTCACGCACTCACTCACTCACTCACTCACTCACT